AGGACATTCATTAGCATTACAGTGTCTGTCTCAAGGAAAACATTTTTTTTGATACTTAACAGGTATCTTCTTCTTAAAGATATTTCTCATTTTTCTAAAGAAAAAATTACTTAACTAAAGTGATTGAGCTCCGTTTGTCTACCTGTCCACTTTTACTCAAGAAAATATCTCAATATCAAGGAGTCAGAAATATTTATCGTTGTGGTTCTCTATTGTATAAAGATGTGTGATAGAGACTTCGAGTTCTTGAGGTCAAGGTTGAGTTTGTCAGCAGGGCTGGAACAGGATGACATATTGTCAAAGTTACAATGCATTGTTCCTGCTGGTTCAGTTCTCATGATTATAAACTACAACTCAAGGTCAAAGTCATTGTTACAAATATGATTTTAAAAGTATCTTCTGTTCAAACTTCGTTGTATACCATTTTCTGGTGTGTCATTTTGTTTCTGTCGATGCTAAGAGGATTTACATGATTGTCAGAACTCTACGTATGTCAGATCCCAATATGTCAATATGTCACTACTGTTAGAGTAACTGAAACATTAGATCCCAATATGTCAATATGTCAGATCCCAATATGTCAATATGTCACTACTGTTAGAGTAACTGAAACATTAAGGACAAGAAACTGTTGGTATGTTTTTCTTCCTTTTTGTTCCTATTTTTACATATTTCACTTAATAAATAACAATCTGTTATCCAGATCTCGTTCTACCAGATTTCTGTGATGGCTTATGATTGGCTGAAAGTGGTAGACCACAATAATTCTTTTCCTCCGTATAAATTTTGCTGTACAATCCGCTGGTTTACCTCCTATTGTCAGTGGCTTGTTGGTCTAAATAAACCCAGATCGCGATCCAATGTACGTTGTTGGTCACTTCATGGTTTTTTTTTTTTTTTTGTTTCTCAGGAAGCTGAGAAATAGAGAAGTCTGTATTATGGGTGTGTCATGGTTAAGACACTAGCCTGATTGTTCTAGATGGAAGTGACATACCTCCTGTATGTTGTCCTGTGAGGTAGTCTACAGGTACAGAAAGGAGACCTCATAATGACCGTGGCTGTTCAAGGGTTGATAAACCCAGTAAACATCTCATGTTGTTTCAGGCCTGATAATTAGAGGATTAGAACTCTATCTACGATATAGTCTCTGTATAGAGGTGTAACAGCTTACAAATTCTGTTCAAACGGAGTTAATTTACAGCTGTAATTCTCATCCATTAATATGCTAATGACATAACATCATTTCAGAGATGTTTCAGGTGTGATGTAATGTTGGAATATAATTGAACTGATAAATTATTGACACATTGAATGGAATTCAAGGTCATTCAAACTGACACATGTCAATTTGCATCTTTATTCCAGTTTGTTATTAAGAGATGAGCTGATTAGAAAATAAAAACATATTATTTGTAGTGAGTTTCGATAATAAATCAAAACTTATCAAAATATAAGGTGTAATTGTATAAAAACAAGTGGTTTGACTATGACCAAAATATATAGATGTGGTTTCTGTATTAAATACCTCAGTATTTTGAGTTGTTTTATTTTCATCACTATTTCATTGTGTATGTCAGCAATTTACATACCAATGAAATGTTTGTTTATAGATTATAATTGGATTTTACATGAATTATCTGAATTTATGAAATTTGAAAAATGATGTCTAGGAATTTTAAAAGGTCACGAAAATAAGAAATTTCATATATCCGTTATCAAATGAATTTAAAATACTTTTTATCACATGATGAATTTTTGAAGCAAATATGGTAGAAAACTTCCAAGTCACAACATCTCAATATCTATAGTCACCATTGTTACCACACAATGCCATTTGTGAATAGAAGACATCACTTAATTATCTAAACGTGAGCATGTGTAATACAGAAAACTATGACAAGGGTATATTCACTGAAAATTAAGGCAAGTCAGATGACCCTGTTAGCTGAGTGACAGAGACTGTATTTAACACTATGTAAAGTCACATCACCCTGTCAGCTCAGTGACAGAAACCATATTTAACACTATGTACAAGTCACATCACCCTGTCAGCTCAGTGACAGAGACTGTATTTAACACTATGTACAAGTCACATCACCCTGTCAGCTCAGTGACAGAAACCATATTTAACACTTAGTACAAGTCTCACCGACCTGTCAGCTCAGTGACAGAAACAACATTTAACACTATGTAAAGTCACATCACCCTGTCAGCTGAGTGACAGAGACTGTATTTAACACTTAGTACAAGTCACATCACCCTGTCAGCTCAGTGACAGGGACTGTATTTAACACTTAGTACAAGTCACATAAAGCCTGTCAGCTCAGTGACAGAGACCATATTTAACACTATGTACAAGTCACACTGACCCCTCAGCTCAGTGACAGAGACCATATTTAACACTATGTACAAGTCACACTGACCTGTCAGCTCAGTGACAGAGACCATATTTAACACTATTTAAAGTCACATCACCCGGTCAGCTGAGTGACAGAGACTGTATTTAACACTATGTACAAGTCACACCGACCTGTCAGCTCAGTGACAGAAACCATATTTAACACTATGTACAAGTCACACCGACCCACTCCTGTTCCAGTATGTTTGTTGAAATCTACTTTTTTGGTGTCCTTGGTCCTGTTTTGATTCCTATTGACTTAATCCAGGAAAATATCTGTGATTTATGTTTACCATTGCAGTATATCAGAACATGTATCTAAACCTACATTGTGAATTAAAGTGGTTTCTGATATAATCATGATCTGCCTGTTATATAATATATAGTATTGGTCATTAATCATGATGTTTGTGAAGCCTCAGTTACCAGTCAGTGAATATACAGTTATGTATACAGTGATATTAATCCTCCCTCAGTTTATAAAGATGTATTTGATTTTTTGTAGTAAAAGTCAAATATATACACCATCATATCATATTACATAATCATTTGTGTTATCTCCATAGTGATGATAAGCTTGATGTATGGGAATATGACTGTTGAGATAGGACTTGTATAATTTGATATAAATGTGACAATGATTAACTGTTATCTATACATGTCAAAGATATTATCTTGAGTTTTTGCAAATCAGATAAACATATTTGTCTGAGATATAAAGCCCAAAGTATTCAGTAATGAAGACCTAAGTCCATAAACTTCAGTAAAATATTGCAGTTCATAATGTAAGTTATTGTTCCTGTCCCAAGACTTCATGTCTAGTTTCTTATATCTCACCAGACAATACACAAGTATTGGGCAACCAAGTTTATCTATCAATAAGCCCATGCCTGGTAATAAGCCCACCCATTATATATTCCAGTTCACCAATAATATTAACCAATGTCTTTTCATTTTCCTGTAATGAGCCCACCTTTTGAGATTGAATAAGAAGTAATGTGTTGTCTCTTTAAGATTATTTTGTTAAATAATAACAGATTTTGTCTTTATGGATCTGTATTTATCAGTGAAGAAAGGATAAAAAAGAGTTGTAACCGCAGTATGCCAGACTCAGATGAATTGCACCTTCCAACATCATATTGTGAATTAGAAATGACAGTGCAATTCGCACTCAGATGTTTTATCCTTCTGGGAATCCAGTAAAAAGGAAAAGAAAAAAAAAACAGAAAAAAATGCAATTCGCACTCAGCTATTTTATCCTTATGGGAATCCAGTAAAAAGGGAGAAAAAACCCAGAAAAAACGCAATTCGCACTCAGATGTTTTATCCTTCTGGGACTCTTGTAGAAATCCAGAAGAAAAAATAAATGAAAAAAAAACGAAAAAAAAAAATCACAAGTCCAGATAGAAAGTAAGGAAAATTCAACAAACTTAAGAATAGTAGAAGTCCAGAAGGAAAGACCAAATAAATTAAAAAAAGGAAACAAGGACAAAAATTAAAAAGCTGAAGAACTATAGAAGTGTAGATATTTTGAACGAATATTAGGAAAAATTTGACAAGCTTCAGATATTTAGAACTGTAGAAATCCTGATGAAAAATCAGGAAAAAACCAGCAAGCTCAACAATTGTATTAGTGTAAAAAAAAAATTCAGAAAGAAAATAAGGTAAGACTTAACATCAGTAGGGCCATGTCAATCTATTTAGTAATTTTATATTTTAGATAAAGGATACCTGAAATGTAATTTATTTCTCACAAAACTGAGATCGTTTTATAATTTAATCACTCTGTGAACAAATTTGAGTAAGAATCACATTTAAATGGGTCTGATTAGTGATGTCATTAAGGAATCCTTTTGTTAATTGTGTTTAAACAATTCAGTCCAATGTTGAATCATTCTTTCAGAAAAGGACTCCTAAGGTAGTGCTGGAAACCTCAGATATCCATGTCATGACCTTTTTCTACTTTTTCTAACTTAATAATCTGATTCTAGAAAAAAATGTAATCTGAGACAAGTTGAATGATCACCAGAAATTCTTTATGTATTTCTTGTCGACTTTTGTTAGTATAGTTATCGTAATTTTTCATTTGGATTATAGATAAAGCAAAATTTGAATTGATTCTCAGGATATACAAATCTGCCATGAAATACAGTATTATTCTTGTTTGGGAATATGTTGTCTGATCAAAATTAAAACAAAACTCTGCAACCTTTAATACAGTTCAATACGTTTCCGTCAGTTCAACAAATCTTATCCAGGTCAGTGTTCATTTGATATCTTAGATTAACTGATATGCATGTTCAGTGCACCTAGTAACTTTGCTCTGTAAGAATAGCACAGACTGCAGTCCCAAACATCAAGGGTGAAGGTCATCAAGATTTTACCTGGGATAAAATTACTATCAGAGGATCATTTTACAAAGATTCAGGCGTCAGTTGGAAATGTGAAACTTGATTAGATGACAATAATGGTAGAGTTCTGCTACATTTAAGCAATGATTGCCATGATTAATGATCAATCTGAATGGAAAGAAACTTTTTATTTTATGTTTTTATGGCAGGTTTATTACATGTAATTAAGATTTTTTATATATATTTTATAGGGACTTGTCCACTTTAAGGAATCTGATGATTTTAAAGTCTTGCTGAATATCACAGCGCCCTCTATTGACAAAGCCTATGCTGTACACTCACAGATGGTTGCCGACAAGGGGAGACTACTCATTCAAGTGGTACGATGTGCTAATGGACAAGATTTAATTCAATTCTCATTATTAGTATTGTTTGTGCTATTCAAAGAAACAATAATTTGTGACTGATAATCCAATTCTTATATTAAAATGTTTGCTGTCCAATCTGATTTCCCATCACAAATATTTGTGTTTTGAATTTTTTGTAGGTTCAAACATCTTGCAAGTAATTTAACTTGGAGCAATTGTGATTTATATCAAGTCTTTCAATTTAAATTTGCATTTTATATATAGAATTAAAACTGTCTCAGTTAGTCATGATGAAGCTGAAAAGACTGAATATTGTAATTGTTTCAGTATGAAGAACCTTCTGCAGGACATCCCATAAGTCTCGGGTGGATATTCCTCCTGGTTGGTATATCAGCCTGTATTGTAGCCACATTAGCTGTCCTGTATGCCGTGTGGTGGTACTGCAGTAAAAAATACATTGACATTGAACAAGACAACCTACGCCATGGCAATGTGATGTATCGTGCAAGGAACAGTATGCACCTGTCCGCTACACAGGCGGAGGAAATCATGTTGTCGCGAGGCGATGATGACCATGATACTTTTCCAAATGACGACCCACTGAGAGGAGTACCAGAACTTCCTGAACAGGAAGAAGCAGAAGCTATGGAGATGGTCAGTTAATGATACATGATTATATGATATAAAACCTGCAGCAGGGAACACAACCTTTTAGAAACAATATCATGTTGAAGCATTAAGGTTTCTACAAAGATAACTTTTCATTTAAGCTAGGATCATGAAGCTTGTGTTAACATTGATCATTCAAATGCTTTTGCCTGCAAAGCATTAAGTACAAAATTATTACCCATTGTTAAAATTTTGTGTCGGGAGTACAAATTGGCTTACATTTAATTTAGGATAATGAAACATTTACATTGGTCATATTAAGAAGATGTCCAATATATCAAATTCAGGGCCTGCATCCCTTAATTAAAGAGTTATTGCCCTTTGTTCAAATTTTGTGTCATGAACATTTACTTTGCTTGCATTAAAATTAGAATAATGGGATTTGGTGTATACATTGGTCAAACTAAGGAGACATGCAGTGTGCTTGCAAACCCCTTGATTACAGAGTTATTGGCCTTTGTTAAACCTTATATGTCCACGCATAACTCTGCATTTATATAAGCTAGGACAATGAAACTTGGTGTATACATTTATCATACATAGAGGATGTTCTGTGTACCAAATGCAGTGCCTTAAACCCCTTAATTATAAGCCTTCGTTGAAATTTTGTTTCCAATAAAGTCCTTTTCAGGGAGCATTCATCTGTTTTACTGGTCCTCTCATCATTATTAGTGCTTGCTTGTACCAATATTTGAGAAAAAGATTGAAGTTACATCCGATCACACTGCATTAGATTCAGATACCTAAAAGTTGGTACATGTGTGTGGTGTGTGTCAAAATTACATTTGGTTTTGGTGCATATTGCATAAGGTAGCAACTTTGATGATCTTTAAAAGATGACACATATCCAAGATATTTTTTCTGATAATTGGTATTTAGAAATAACTCATTGAAATTACTTATTCAAATTAATCAAAATGGAAAACTATTTTTTATGCCCCCGCCATTTATGGCCGGGGGCATATAGCGTTGCCCATGTCCATCCGTCCCGTCCCCGTCCTGTCCCCGTCACGTCCCGTCACGTCGCGTCCCGTCACGTCGCGTCGCATCCAAAATCAGTATATACCACCTAACAACTTCATTCGGACCTTTCACTATTATTTCACATGGGGGGGGGCGGGGGCATTCATGTCTTACAGACATTTTCTAGTTTCATTTTATTGTTAGTCGAATCAGGCGGTTACACTCCATACCTCTTTTGTTGAATATACTCCTTACGTTCAAGAAAAGATAAATAAATTTGTCCTTTCAGATAGATGTGTAATGGCAACTGCTGTTGAAACAGTGGATCATCTGAGACATCTCTGTTATAGTGTGTTCGAAATTGTTTTTATGTATTGAAATATTTTTCATCTTTTTTGATGTTTTGACAGGAGGAATTACAGGCCACAGAAAAGCATGGGATAGATGGGGACAATGATGACTATGAGAAAAGGGTTGCTAAGAAACGACTACAGGCCCAAGCTAGAAAGCTACACAAAGATTATTACAAGAAAGAAATAATCCGACGTAAGAGACATCCCTCTCTTAACGACCCACCATCTTATGATGCTGTGATGGAGTATCCAAATGAATCAAGCGACGAGTCTGATGAATCACCAGAACATGATACCAGTAACCGACGGTTACTGCCAACTATAGAGGGTTCTGATACATCTCTTGGTGACAGAACTTACCAAAATGTTTACAGGGATGGTGCCATCACCACATTCCGAACATTAGACACACACATTCCCGTGGCACATTCAGACGGTGACCTTACTCTCGCGAACTTGGCTACTCGTAGAGGGCGCCACTTGCCTCGACTTGCTAAGGGCATGGTAACTCCTCCAGTTGCTATGTCAGAGGAGTTAGCTCATGGACCGTCTTTCCCTAACACTGCTATTGTTGCGGCAGCTGCTGCTAGTAAAGACAGTAAAGAGACAGTGGTTATCCGTGAGGATAGCAATGCTTCTCCTTTCAGGGTAACAGCTGTTGTACACCAAACTACACCACAGTCTCCAGAACATGCTGGGTCAAGACCAGGCAGTACAACTGGATCTCGACCAGGTAGTGTTACGGGGTCAAGGCCTGGGAGTGGTAAAGGGTCACGACCTGGAAGTAGCACAGGTTCACGGGTTGGCAGTAACTCCCAGCTCAGGCCAGCTTATGCAACAATTAATCAAAACCATCCTGTGTCTACCATGGATTCGGGGATCTACACATTGGAGAAAAACCCAATGGACATTCCATTGACTAGCTTCAAGAGCCGAGGACCTCCTCCACCGATTCCTGTCAAACCCCCAGTTCTACCAACAATCAGGAATACACCAGGTATTTTTATCCTCACCTTGTAATTCTGATGATCTATTGTAATGTTCAGCATAAACAATTATCTCTCTGTGTTTTCTCACATATATCTAATTAAGATTTTATTTTGTGTTTTTCAAAACTCATGCAATTATTTTCAGGTGCTAGAAGCCCTCAAACATCAGAACCACAGGACTTCTACCAATATGGGAAATTGGAGAACTCCGGCAACCCTTATCCCCCATCATTAATGACATCAGATAGTGTCACAAGCCCAGGTGGTCATCGCATTAGTGAAAGTTTAACAAGCCCAGGAGGTCACCGTTTTAGTTTGATGAGTGAGAAAACGTTTTCTCTTTATGGTAGCAGTGAGATTTTTGACTCTAATCAACAACAGCGTGACAAAGACTTTGACCAGGAAGACAGTGAATCGGATATTGAGGTTGAAATTCCACCACTTGGAGACTCCGATGCCGATATTTTATCTGATGCAAGTCTGCCCCTTCCAAGTCCTCCAGCCTTTATCAGACCACATGGGGCCAATTACACATTTGATGGAAGTCCAATTAGTCCTGCAGCCAGGAAGTTCCTGTATGGAGACAGTCTTCATGGTATTTCAGCCATGTCTCCCGGATTGGACGACTGGGATGACATGAGAGGTGGGCCATTAGAAACATTTTCACTACTAATTGTAATTGATAGCCTGAGTTCAAATTTGACAATTTCAAAAAAAAAAAAAAAATCTGCTATTTCCGATAATTTTCTATAAAAAATGATGCCTGTATTTTAGTTCTGAATTAAGTGACCTTTCATATCTTTAAAATGATTGACACTTGATATTAGTGTTTCAAACATTGGTAACAGTTATAACTACACTATGTAAAAGTTTTAGTAAAGTATTAACAAAAAAGGATATAGTAGGCAAGCTCTACAAGAAAAACTTAGAGAAAAGTTTATAGTAATAAAAGTCTCCAGGTGAAAAAAATCAAATTTTAGTAATCTCATCTCAAATGGAAATAAATTTAAAGTCTTCAAGAAAAACTTCTGGACTTTATTTAAATAGAAATTAATCTTAACTATTATCAAAAAATTATTTTGGACAAGTTAAACACATTTCTTATTAAGTGTTTATTAATTTGTCATCCTGTTGTGCTTACCAGTACTTGAAAATTTTCACATAAATCGTAAGACAGCAGCACAGGTTCCTCACTGTCATTATTTAAACTTCCAGTCTGTTGTGTTGGATACATCAGAATACCATACAAACATTGATATTGTATTTTACTCCGTTATTTTATATCACATTATACTAGCTACTTAACGTATTATGGAGCAGATTTATTTACTTGAAACATTTATTCATTTAGGTTTATTGAGGTAATTTGCTGTCTGACATTGCCCCAAGGGCGCAGGTATTAGCAGGTTCTCTAAGCATACTTTAACTTTTTTTAAAAAAAAAAAATGTCTTTTAATGCAGTTTATTCATTACAAATCAACAAGATACAGTTCTGTATCACAACATTAATATGTTATTGTGTCTGTTTTAGAGAGTTATTTTCTGTAAGAAAAAAAATCATTCAGAAGAAATGCCCATAGCACATGTGTTATGTTACCTGTTACAGAAGGTTAACAGTAACTGACCAATCACAATAACTATTACAGTTGGTCACCAGTAACAGACCAATTACAATAACTGTTACAGATGGCCATCAGAAAATGATTAATCACAACAGGTGTTACAGAAAAGTCAACAGTATCTTGACCAATTATAATTGTTACAAATGGTCAACTGTAACTGACCAATTACTGGAGAGACATAATAATAGTCAGTATAAATAAATTCTAGGTACAGACCAGAAGCGACCGATATAAACTAACAATTAAGACGAAGGATTTGGATCTGAATATATAGGCCTAAAGGAGTTCAGTAACAACTCAGTAACACTAAGTAAGTAATTACATTAACTGTTATAGAATGTCAACTGTAATATTCTGTTGCTCTTCTCGTTACAGGTGGTCGACTGATAGCAGCCACTGCCTCGCCTACCAATACACTGGACAAGCACTTTGTGTTCCCTCCTCCACAGCAGTCCCAAGACTCTGGGATGTCGGATGGACCAGATATGTCCAGCTTTAATGACAATAACGGCACCTCCACACCCCCACCTCTCCCTCCACCAAATCCGGTTAGTATGCTTGGCAAAACTTCATTTTTCTGTTGTAAAAGAAGCAAGTCATTGTGGCACAAAAGTAACAGAAAAGGAAAAAAGTTTTCCTGCTAATTGCCTAAAACAGAAATTGAACCTGGATATCTGACATAACAACCCATTTGCTCAAATGAGTCAAAAGAATCTTGTTCTTAGTGACAAGAGACAACTATCATTGTACACACAAGCCACGCTGACCTTTTCCTTTTAACGTATTTACATTTTAGATGTACTTGTCTTTTACCGTTTGAAAAAGTTGAAAATATTTTTGGAATATGCCTTTATCCATGTAACTGAATTATTAAATCGTGTGTTACAGGTACAGAGAAGTATTTCCGATATACAAGGTAACCACATCAGTCTTCAAACCCCACCAAGGAAGACATATCACTCCCCACATCGGTATTCCAGTACAAGAGAGGAAGCGCGGTCGCCCCACCATCTTCATCCCGAGGGACGGGAGTATGCAGAACAGAACGGCCACAGAGAACGACAGCGTCAGCTCTCTGGAGGAAAACCTGGCAGAGGAAGAGGTGGAAGGCCTTTATTAGGACCAAAAGTGTAGGTAGAATTCTTAGGCTTTTAGCTAGGAAACACAATCTGAGGTGTAAAGCAAATTAGCGTCCTGTAGGAGTAAGCAGGAAGGGCATATAAATAACATATACAAGTGTAAATTTGATTATTCTTACTCCATAAAGGGGCTTGAAGTAATAATTTGTGATAACTGGCTTTTATTTTTTTCTGGGATGGTAAACTTTGAAAAACCTTAGAAATTAAAGTATGACATTAAACTGTCAGGAATTTACATATGAGAGAAGGCTGGGAATAGGGCATAAATACAATCTTATTTCTTTCTCTCCCACACTGTAATTGAGGACTGTCATGGAAAATGGGCTGAAGATATTCATAGTGGTTGGAAACTCCCTCAGCTCTCCTTGTACATGTGCCACTTTGAATTCTAGCTCATTTCATAATTTTGTGATTTGGTTTAACTGATATTGATCACTTTTATTTTGCTTAAATGTGTTTCCATTCAAGCCAACAAAAGTATGTAAGTGATATCAGTGGTGATGACAATAACTTGTTCATAAATGTTGTAAAATAGAATTTATGATAATTGAAATCTACCAACTACCTATGTAATAATATATACTTTATCAAACTAGGATATTGCTGCATAAAAGTTGTCTTCATAAATACATAAAAGTACATAATGTCTTGCGCTACTTTTTACACACGTGTGTTATCAAAGTAGTAACTCTCTAAGGATCTTCTTTTTTCTTTTCTTTTTTTTTTCTGTTTCCGTTTTATTTCTGTGATTTTCCCGGAAATATCCTGAAAGTTGACTTCATTATTGATAGCAAACTTTTTTTTGTCTTTCAAGCTTACATCTGACTATCCTATCAACGTTCTGTATCTTGAGTTTGGCAAGTGGAGTCTATGCAAAAATGGCGAAGCCCGAAACTGAAGTGTATATGACTGTGTATGCTCCCCGAGACTTTTTGGCTGCCCATCGTATCAACGTCTTCTTCAATCAGGACAAGAAAGCTGACATTGAAGCATCCCCATTTGATGTTCAGCCTTATGGTACAGTGTTCTTAAACAGATTCATACTGAAATCAAACCTTGCTTATTCTACAGCAACATTTTGTGAAGTGTTTTTCCAACATTTCATGATAAAAAGCTTGATTCCTTTTATCTAACATTATATATTGTGTATACTGAAGTAAAACATTGGGTATGGTCACTAAAAATACAATTATTTTAAATTCTGGTGCATTGTAATTTTTCAAGGAATTGAATTTTATGTGTAATTGAGGGTAAATTAAATTACATCAAATGATTATTTTATTAATTGAACTAAAAAATTCCCAGGAGATATTGATTCTGATTTCCTTATTGAAGTTGCCTCGGATCCAATTCTGTGGCGCATGAACTCTTCCTTGTGTAAGAGAAACAAATGTGCCCAGGGATGTGACGAGAACACCGGGCGCTGTATTTGTAAGAAGGGTTACAAACTGGACAAGGATGGAATTTGTAAAGGTAAATATTTATACAGGCATGTGTTATTAAAAAGTGTGTAACACATTGAGTGATTGTATCTACCAGTCTATAATCAAGCCTGCCTTCAGAAACCACTGGATTGTTACTGTAAAACCTGTCTTGAGAGACCAACCCTTCTGTCACTACAGTAGAATTTGTCTAGAGAGATATCTGTCTTGAGTGACCAACCCTTCTGTCACTACAGTAGAATTTGTCTAGAGATATCTGTCTTGATTGACCAACCCTTCTGTCACTACAGTAGAATTTATCTTGAGAGATATCTGTCTTGAGAGACCAACACTTCTGTCACTACAGTAGAATTTGTGTAGAGAGATATCTGTCTTGAGAGACCAACACTTTTGTCACTACAGTAGAATTTATCTTGAGAGATATCTGTCTTGAGAGACCAACACTTCTGTCACTACAGTAGAATTTGTGTAGAGAGATATCTGTCTTGAGAGACCAACCCTTCTGTCACTACAGTAGAATTTGTCTAGAGATATATCTGTCTTGAGTGACCAACCCTTCTGTCACTACAGTAGAATTTGTTTAGAGAGATATCTGTCTTGAGAGACCAACCGTTCTGTCACTACAGTAATTGAGATTACATTGAGAGCATTCCCTCCGTCACTACAGTAAAACGTGCCTTAAGAGACCATTCCTTTGGTCATTACAGTTGACCCTGCCTTTACAGACCACCCATTATTTCACTTTGACAGATGTTTGTCTTCACAGATTATCCATTTTGTCACTACAGTAGAACCTGTCTAGAAAGACCACCTCTTCTGTCACTACAGTAGAACCTGTCTAGAAAGACCACCTCTTCTGTCACTACAGTAGAACCTGTCTAGAAAGATCTTGAGAGATCAACCATCCTGTCACTACAGTAGAAATTACCTTCAGAGATCATCCCCTCTGTCACAACAGTAAAACCTGCCTTGACAGACCATCCATTTTGTCACTACAGTAGAACCTGTCTAGAAAGACCACCTCTTCTGTCACTACAGTATATCCTGTCTTGAGAGATCAACCATCCTGTCACTACAGTAGAAATTACCTTTGGAGATAATTCCCTTTGTCACTATAGTAAAACCTGTCTTGAGAGACCGTCCCTTTTATAACTACATTAGAACCCTGTCTTTAGATATTGGCTGTTCTGTCATGATTGTAGTACTTATCATTACATACCATCTATTCTGTTATAACAGTAGAATCTGTCTTGAGGGACCACCCCTCTGTCACTTCAATATAACCTGTCTTTAAAGAGAGACAGGTTTACCTGTTGCTGTTTTAGCAAATTTCCTATGTTTTAACAAAAAATATTGAAGGGAAAAAATCTGTATTTGGTTACTTAAAATTCAAGCACAAATACATACTATAGGACAATTTTCACTCTTTTGACAATATATTTTAGACTATTAATTTCAACACAGATGAATTTGGAAATAACTTTTCATAGTAATTAACTCTGGATTTTAATTTGCAAAGATGTGAACGAGTGTCATGAAATGACCTTCCGATGTCACAAGGATGCTGGTTGTCTGAACAGTAAAGGATCATACGATTGTCGCTGCAGCTTCCCTTTCTTTGGTGATGGAAAATATTGTGAAGGTAAGTTAAAGTCGATAGTTGTATTTATCATGTATTCCCAGCTTCACAGAAGTATATACAATCAAAACAGTACTTTGTTTAAGGGATGGCAGATTAATGAAAAAACAGCAGAGTAAAAGACAGTTCAAGAATTTTTTATTAAATAAGTATATATTGTCAGATAAGTACATGTAATACAGATAGTGATGTTCCAATTAAGCAACTTCGTTTAGTATTGGTTGGTTACACCAAATAACTAATTAGACAAATGCAGTCTTTCATGATTGATCATAAGTAAAATAAAAAATAACATTATCATTTCCCTTTCATTGGCAGAAAAAAATCTTAAATCTTAGTCCTGTCAACAAACATTACAATGTTACCATAAAAAGAAAAATCTACATTAAGAGAAAATTTATACCATAAAAGGAAAAATCTTCACAGCTAAAGGGGGAAATAATGTGAAATGTGTGAAACAACTAAAAGTTTATTTGTAATCATCAAGTTATCAAGGTGTCATGTTTCAATTTTATCTGTTTTTGCATTAATACCATACGTTTTGGTTGAAATAATTTATTCAGCAACACATTAACATGATATTGTAAAGCTAATTTTAGGGAAAATGAGAACATTTCTCCGTATCAAATTTGTGAAAATTCTGAAGTATATCTTGACTATGATACTGATCTTCATGAAAAAGGATGTAAAGACTAAGGTTTGCTTCAGTTTTTCATGTCCCTCTTTTCAGAGAGGTCTTAAGTCTTTACAATTTTATTCCTGTACCACCACAAATTATCTACAATCGGTTTGCTTCAGTTTTTAATGGTCCTCTTTTCAGAGGTCTGAAGTCTTTATAATTTTATTCCTATACCACCACAAATTATCATGGTAAGCTACACCTGAAAGAGAAAATATAATTGTTTTGCAGAATGTACTAAGGGCTGTCCAGAAAACATGTGGGAGGTACAAGGCTGCACAAACAAGCAGCCCAAGATCTGCCGAGGTGGGTGTCTGTAATGTAGTTTATGTAGTTGTCCTGTGTCTGTGTTTGTGGAATGACTCCAGCGTCCTCGTAAAATATGTTGCATTTCTTTGTAATACTATAATCCAACAATATGTTTGCATATCAGATCAGTCACGGATATCAAACACTGTAAACATGTCAATATTACAACTTCGCAAATACTGCAATATTAGCGAATAGAAAAGAAAAGATTCACATAACTTTATAGCTTTGAAAACAATTTTGTTAACAGTAAATCTTCAGCTGGCAGTTTGTAATATAGCTTCAGTATTGTACTGTGCATTTAAATGTGATGATTTCTAATTTTATTAAAATTGAATAATGCATTGTACTATCCTTTATAATTTTATGTAAAACTTTCGGTTAAGAAAGGATTAAATATTTATGTCGAAAATTTAAATGTGATTTTTTCGTTAAGTTATGATGTGATGAACTAGATGTGTTCATTCCTCTATTGTGTTGTCAGAGTCACATGTTGTGTGTTCTGTATATCATCGTCATTCATGTGTTAAAAAATCAGTGTTATTATATATACCTCAAAATTATTTTATATTATGAGAATGGTTGATTCTTCATATATATTTATAAGTTTTTATAACAACTTGTGTTATGATAGCTGGGCTCACTAGAGTTGTTAAATTTAATGTTTTAATAAATAGATTTTCCATTTTTTAACAGATTTAATTTTGACATTTGTCGAAGATTTGCATGTGATAATTTTTTCATGTTTCACTGTCTTACATTGACATATAAAGTATGTGTGGCTCAGACAAGTTTGTATGCAACAGAAGTTTGTAATTATGGCATTAGATAAACAGAATTTAAACAAAAATATACAGTACCATGCATTAGTCAAATCAGTCCATTCAATTTGTTGGCCTTTATTATTATTTAAATCTGTCTATATTTTGATTGGACAAAATTTCACTGTTTAATTGGTTGAATAATGAATGAGGTCAAGCATGTCACCTGCTGGCTTCCCGCTATGTGTTGGCATGGCAAAACAACTTTATTTCATTAATTATAGTTTACATATTCTCAAAGTCAACAGAAAGATGGACGTCTTTGATATATTATCAGTAACTTATCACACTCAGATCAGATGTCCCCTGCAGCAATCTTTTTTTCTTTTTTTTTTTTTTTTTCATTGGTTTATTTAATTTCCTTGCAAATTTTAACTATGAAATCCATCAAAAATATCTAATGTTTCCGAAAATGAGTTATCTATTTTGTGAATGCTGTATTTTATATTTCTGAAAGGAATAGTGTTTCTTCATCAAAATCTGTCAGCAGAAATGATGTGATTAGAGATAGAAAAAACAAAAAGCAGAATAAATCATCATGCTGGAGTTCTGTTCCTTCATCAAATTTATCAATAAAAATTATATCATCAACAGCAAGAAGGAAAGGCAATTATTTTGGGCATTCTGTTGCTTTATCAAATTTATCTGATACATGATACTGCCTGGTGAGCACATTATAATTTAAGCTTAACTTTTTATTTTGTTTTTGTATTTCCCTTAGCCTGCACAAAAGTGTGTGTCGATGGCTTCTACTTGCTGAGTGCCTGCCACACAAACAATGACATCAGCTGTAGGAGTAAGTAACAAAGGGGGGGGATAACTCTTGTTTCTTTAAAATCTAGAGACTCTCTCATTGGATAATATAAAAAGGAATCAGTTTGGTGAAATTGTTGGTCACCCTTTTTAACAATCTTATTTTCCTCACAAAAGTATAACATTGTGTTCTCATGATGCATGTGAGTGGTTCTCTTTACCTGCACTTTAAATAAGGGAGATAACTGTTTCTTCACCTAATCAAGGCTCATCTCTTATCACAAGATGTTTACTAAACAAGGGGTATAACTTGATTTCTCCTTTGTCTATGAGACTGTTTAATCAATAGTTTTCAAATTTACTTCAACCATAGAATCATCCTGCAATAGTTCACTTTAAGCCATGTTTTTATTGATCCAATATCTGTGTCTTTCTTGTCAAATGTTTCACCTTTGACGTAAACAATTTTCACATTTAGCTGCCTAATGCTCTGGTTTTGCATGATCTGTTGTTCTTTGTGTATATATTTTCTTAAAAATGTTTTAAAAGTTAGTAACATCTTTTAAGGAGATGTTTTGATATTCAAATTACATCATATAAAATGCATTGATAAGATAACATGTTATTGTCGGATTTCATAATAAGAGAACATTTAACTGATCTGAGTTACAGGGAAGAAATCCTGAAAATAAAACAAAAACCATTTTTTATACACTGTATAGATAATTCTTATGTTCAGTTTTTAATGCAATATATCAATTTTAGGTACAATCTGAAAAGTCATATCAAAAGTATAATTATTGATTGAAAATTTCTTCATGTCTTTTTCCAATATCACAACAAAGACATGAAACATGTTTTTCGTGCAGACAAGATATATAATCTTTACCATTTTCTTTTTTTTTTTTTTCAATCATGTTACACACTGAAGGAACAAATTTGCAATTACCCAAATATATCTAAATCAAATGATTTTAAGGTCTAAAGGAATCATGGAATAAGAAATTATTCATTTTACAAACAAACTTCTTGATTTATTATCTAATATCCTGTTACAAGTTTTGTTGTAAGTTTCCTGTAAAATGAACAATTGATAAATTTTAATAATAGAAAAAAGTGTAATACAGAGTTATATGTTGGTTCTAAGGTTTCAGATAGATTTAAAGTTGAAAATTATATCCAATTAATTTTGTAACACCACATTACAAATCACTTTATTTTATGTAAGTAAGTCAGTGTATCATCAGAAATCAGAGGGTATAACTAGTTACAGGTTACTAGTGATTCTTTCTGGCAATGACTTCAGCCTTTTTACAAGTATAGCGTAGGTGACTTTCAGAGAAATAATAGCTGTATATGAAGATAAATAGGTTATATGTGACTTTAAGATAAATAGGATAAATAGGTTATATGTGACTTTAAGATAAATAGGATAAATAGGTTATATGTGACTTTATGATAAATAGGTTATATGTGACTTTATGATAAATAGGTTATATGTGATTTTATGATAAATACCACCGTAGGTTATATGTGACTTTAAGATAAATAGGTTATATGTGACTTTATGATAAATAGGTTATATGTGACTTTAAGATAAATAGGTTACATGTGATTTTATGATAAATATGTTGCATATTACTTAAAGATAAATATGTTTTCCAAGACCTTTAGATAATACATGTTTTCCAAGACCTTTAGATAATACATGTTGTTTACACCTTTCAGATAAATGTGTGTTATACATGACTGTCAGATAAATGTATGTTGTATATTACCTATCAATAAAGGTATATTGTTCATAGATGCCTTATAGATAAATGTGTTATGTATGACTTTGAGAAAAATGTATGTTTCATATGACTTTGAAATAAATATTTGTTGTGTATGACTTTCAGTGTGTCACCAGAAGTGTACAGGAGGTAGTTATGAATACAAGCAGTGTACAAGGAGACAAAATCGAGAGTGTCGAGGTAAATCTTTCTACTTACAGTAGGCAAGAGTGAAATATACTGCTGGGAAGCTGGGAGATACATTTTGTTTGATTTATTCACTTTAACAGAGCTGTGATAACCATGCTGTTCTTTCTTGGAAGAAAAAATGAAACTATATCGATTTTACAATGACTTGGAACAAATGATTTCTACTTAAATTCATTACTCTTGCTAGACTGTGAGGAAGCATGCAGATGGTCTTACTTTGGGAGGTAGTAGCACAGGGTCTTACTGTGGGAGGTAGTGTACAGGACCTTACTGTGGGAGGTAGTGTACAGGACCATACTGTGGGAGGTAGTACACAGGGTCTTACTGTGGGAGGTAGTGCACAGGACCTTACTGTGGGAGGTAGTGTACAGGACCTTACTGTGAGAGGTAGTGTACAGGACCTTACTGTGGGAGGAAGTGTACAGGAACTTACTGTGGGAGGTAGTACACAGGGTCTTACTTTGGGAGGTAGTACACAGGGTCTTACTGTGGGAGGTAGTACACAGGGTCTTACTGTGGGAGGTAGTGTACAGGACCTTACTGTGGGAGGTAGTGTACAGGGTCTCACTTTGGGAGGTAGTACACAGGGTCTTACTTTGGGAGGTAGTGCACAGGGTCTTACTGTGGGAGGTAGTGCACAGGGTCTTACTGTGGGAGGTAGTACACAGGGTCTTACTGTGGGAGGTACTAGAACAGGGTCTTACTGTGGGAGGTATTACACAGGGTCTTACTGTGGGAGGTAGTACACAGGGTCTTACTTTAGGAGGTAGTGCACAGGGTCTTACTGTGGGAGGTAGTACACAGGGTCTTACTGTGGGAGGTAGTGTACAGGACCTTACTGTGGGAGGTAGTGTACAGGGTCTCACTTTGGGAGGTAGTACACAGGGTCTTACTTTGGGAGGTAGTGCACAGGGTCTTACTGTGGGAGGTAGTGCACAGGGTCTTACTGTGGGAGGTAGTACACAGGGTCGTACTGTGGGAGGTAGTACACAGGGTCTTACTGTGGGAGGTAGTAGCACAGGGTCTTACTGTGGGAGGTAGTGCACAGGGTCTTACTGTGGGAGGTAGTACATAGGGTCTTACTGTGGGAGGTAGTACACAGGGTCTTACTTTGGGAGGTAGTAGCACAGGGTCTTACTGTGGGAGGTAGTGCACAGGGTCTTACTGTGGGAGGTAGTACATAGGGTCTTACTGTGGGAGGTAGTACACAGGGTCTTACTTTAGGAGGTAGTGCACAGGGTCTTACTGTGGGAGGTAGTGTACAGGACCTTACTGTGGGAGGTAGTGTACAGGGTCTCACTTTGGGAGGTAGTACACAGGGTCTTACTTTGGGAGGTAGTGCACAGGGTCTTACTGTGGGAGGTAGTGCACATGGTCTTACTGTGGGAGGTAGTACACAGGGTCGTACTGTGGGAGGTAGTACACAGGGTCTTACTGTGGGAGGTAGTAGCACAGGGTCTTACTGTGGGAGGTAGTGCACAGGGTCTTACTGTGGGAGGTAGTACATAGGGTCTTACTGTGGGAGGTAGTACACAGGGTCTTACTTTGGGAGGTAGTAGCACAGGGTCTTACTGTGGGAGGTAGTGCACAGGGTCTTACTGTGGGAGGTAGTACACAGGGTCTTACTGTGGGAGGTAGTACCAGGGTCTTACTGTGGGAGGTAGTAGAACAGGGTCTTACTGTGGGAGGTAGTACACAGGGTCTTACTGTGGGAGGTAGTACACAGGGTCTTACTTTGGGAGGTAGTAGCACAGGGTCTTACTGTGGGAGGTAGTGCACAGGGTCTTACTGTGGGAGGTATTACACAGGACCTTACTGTGGGAGGTAGTACACAGGGTCTTACTGTGGGAGGTAGTACACAGGGTCTTACTGTGGGAGGTAGTAGAACAGGGTCTTACTGTGGGAGGTAGTGCACAGGACCTTACTGTGGGAGGTAGTACACAGGGTCTTACTGTGGGAGGTAGTACACAGGGTCTTACTGTGGGAGGTAGTGCACAGGACCTTACTGTGGGAGGTAGTACACAGGGTCTTACTGTGGGAGGTAGTACACAGGGTCTTACTGTGGGAGGTAGTGCACAGGACCTTACTGTGGGAGGTAGTACACAGGGTCTTACTGTTGGAGGTAACTAAAGTAGAGGAGTGGGAGAACCTTGTTTGAACATATGAGATGAACTTTTGTTTGGAGGGTTTGATTGAAAATGATTTATTTGATAAAATCATGTTGTGGAATGACTTGCTTGTCAAACTTGAATATAATTTGCAATGTGTTAATTGTATTTCTATTAAAACCAGATCGATCAGAGTTGCAGAGGCCATTGACAAGTGAAAATGTTGTATATGAGAACCAATTGGAAGTCACAGATGAGGAGGCCAAAATGCCTTACACACCATCTGATTTCTCCGAAGTACGCAGATTTACGTTTCACAGAGGTCAGTGTTTTTGGATATACTCACAGTTTCACCACTGAAAGATTTATGTATAAGGAAAATTGTTTTTCTTTTTTATTTTTATTTTCAAGGCTTTTCTGTTAATTTAACGCAAGGAGAATTCAAACCTGTCAGAGATATATTTTACAATGACAAGGACTCATGAAAGACAAATAAGATAATCCTGGTCTTGAGAAAGCTTGCATTCGAGCACTTGATCATTATTATTTTCGCATATTTTGATGAAATAAGTTATATATTTTTTCCCTTCATATTTAGGATAAAATTTATATATTTTCATAACAGGATCAGGATTCTATATCAAAGTGGCCATCAAACAACTTAATCCAACCTTTGTGTTTGAACCTGTGGATCATGCTGACAACAATGACCTTAGGTCATTTCCAGGGCAACCAATGATCACTCGCCAGTATTGTCCATATCCTGTCCCAGCACATTATGAACTCTTTTATCTCAAGCACCAGGTACGATAAAAACACTTACATATTGTTGACCTCTTAATATTTGCCAATAATGTTTTAATCTAACAGTGCTTTCAATTTCAATCCAAAAAATCCAACACACAGCTATATTACATCATTGAGTTTGAATAGTGATTTGTTTGATATTGTTTGATTTATCTACCCTTGGAGTTTGTGTTTGTGAAGTGGAGAAAAGGATCAGTCTGTGTTGACATGGTTGTTTGCTTGAGCCTTTTATTTGATTGCTCTAGATGAGGTAATGGGCCTCCCATATGTTATTCACTATGGTAGCTACCAGCTTATCATGGAGTCTCTGCCTCAAAATGACTCGGGCAGTTTGTCGAGTGTTAAACCCAACGAATTACCCTCCATATGTGTTATTCATGTTTAAATTGGTTGTATTTATATTGATAAGAAATGTCATCAATATCTTTGATTAGAGAAACACAGGAAATTTGATTTGAAGCTGTAATTCATCAGTTGTTTTCTGTTGGTGCCTGCAGAACCAGAAATACAGAACATACATGACAAAGACTGGCACTGTCATAGAACCATGTGATACATACATGAGACACGGCACATACCCTGACCTCAGTCACACAGATTCGGGGTCCATCCTGTGTTCAGAGCCAGGCCCTGTCAGCAGTGTGTATGCTATCCAACGAGAATTCGGCACTAGCAAAGACACTTGGGTGGAAAAATCTTTGAGGTTTGTATAACAAAAACAACACCAAATGTATAAGTATATATGTCAGGTAAATCACTCGTTGTTGTGTAAATAATAAAAATCACAGCCAGAGAGTGAGAAAATTTCAGCCTTTAAAGCTCACTTTATTAAGTGTTTGGGGTCCCTGGTACAGTGTCAGACATTAACTTTTTTGTCTGTAGGGCTATTTCAGTTGTCTTGTGTCTACTGTCTATTTACCTGCAGTCCATAAATTTCATTCTTATTTCTCAATATTCAAACAAATTCTGGCAAATTTAAAGTCGTTTCTAGATCACCGTTCGCGAAATCATGTATTCGTGAGTATGTCAGAAGTGGTAAATTCATGAAATCATGCAATTTGCTGTAGTTGACCTTATTGCACATCCATTATGTAATTGGAATAATACTTATCAAAAGTTTTATATGTATTGTTAACATCTTCCATATAAGGAATGTTCTATAATGTATGTAATGTCTCCTTAGATAGAAGTATGATTAATTACGGAATATCATGCATTGATTTATATCACAGATGCCATAATGAGAATGAGGCATGTCTGAACTGCACCTTACTGTGTACACGTCACATGATGAAGGACCAGGGCCAGTGTGGTGTGCGAGAATCAGACGGTGATGGGGGCTCACCGCGGTTACCAACATGTTTTGCCTGCTGTATACAACAGAATTGTACAGACATTTGTAGGGATTACCACGATAGGGGATGTCAGACAGTCAGGTAGGATTCCATGTTGTTGTAATAAGAAAATGGTTATGCAGAAAATGTATTAGAAAATTTCCAAAACAATGTCAAGTTTAGCAGAAATATAAAAAGAAAGATGTATTTTATGATTGGCATATTTTGAAATAACAATGCTGTTACAGTATTTTATAATATAGATTGGGTATAACCCACAATTACAATTCTTACTTCATACCTTAAATGTTCGTCATGTTCAGCCATTGAAATTAGCTTTTATTCCACAGATGTCAAGAAGGAAATCTGATTGAATTCCGTCTTCGACCAGTTTACAACAACGGAGAAGACTACCTATGTCATGTGACTCCAGTAACCAATCAAAAGTTGATCGAGTTGGAATATACCATCATGCATTTCCACAAGGAGTTGATGCGTAAAAATATCAGTATCTATGGTAACAATGAATGGATGACAACAGGCAAGACAGACCACAGGTATGAACTCTGATGTTGTAACCCTTGTTTATTGTTTTATATACATTAAACCTCTGACACAGTTTTCTATTTGATGGTAATATATCAAACAAGTCTTAGACTACTTTATATCACCAAGTCTGTGGCATATTAAGATGAAACCTTGTGACATGTTTCATAAATCTTTCATGAAATGGAAACCAATGTGATATTCTATTTATAGCTGAACTTTGGTAAACATTCATGACAATCACATCTTACTCCATGGGAAAAAGGATGATTGGAGTTACAGATGTATATTTTAAACTGTTGCCTTGAAGAACATACTTATATTTATTTTTGTTTTAAAAATGAAATATCTTCCTTACCTCCCAGACATCACAGTAATTGAGATTCAGATATGACCTTTCAGTAAACAAGTAGTTCTTCAAAACATTCGGATTCAAGTCAAATATTGTTTTTGACAGTCGTTCAAAACAGATTTTTAGTCAATTTTTTGTAGGTTGTAACTCTACTATGTCATATCACCTCATACTTTACAAGGTAAATTGTAGTCAAAGATATTGGTTGCATTAAAATAGAATTGTTATAGGCCTCTCATTGAAATTGTACAAATTTCATTCCATTTTTTGATCGTTTGATTTTGGTTTCTTCTTAGGGACAAAATTATCACAATACAAATTGACTCAAAGCTTGGCAAGATGCCAAATTTTATCCAAGGAACACCAAGCACTGGTACAATGAAAGTTGGTGTGTACAAAGAGGAAGGGTCGAAGGTCAAATATGCCCACATCACTGGATCGTCTGCCCTAGCAAGACCAGTGTGGCCCTTCAAAGTGACATCCTCAATATTCGGTAAGTAGATTTAATCAATGTTGATGTGAAATAAAATTTCGTTTTTTTATATGTCATTTGTAATTTACAACTGTAGAACTGAGACTTAACCATTTCAGCGCCATAGGTAACTAAAGTTGACATGCAGACAGGCCGCCGTAGGCGAGTTTGGTCGACAATTTTTCCGATGTTTTCAGATATTTTCCAGAAAATATTTGGCGCTGAGCTGTACATTGTAAGAGATAAATTGGCGCCGAAAGAGTTAATATGTAGCTAAGGGAAAGTTTTAGAAATGTCAAGTAAAATACATATGTAACAGTTATCTACATCAAACACAACAGAGGTATTATAGGTACTTAAAACAGTGGTGGAATTTTTTTTTTTAGGGGTGGGGATGTGTAAAAAAACATGTTTCATTATATTCTCCAAAGTTAGACAGCAATCTTCACTTTCTTTAGAATTGTCTTTCTATTTATTGTTAAATTATTCATTGTTATAGGGAGTAAGTCATGTGAAGATGAGGCTCTAGATGACCTTGTCCTAGCAACGGGGTCAGAAGACCCATACGACCCAATTCCAGACCTTTTGGGAGTGTATGTGGGTAATATGAGCTACATCATCACTAACTTTACCACACATCCACGTGTTCGTATCGCTGTCAACCAACACACGTCTGTCCTCAGCGTTCTCTACCCAAGCACTGAGCTTGTGTTCAGCGATCTCTATGGTAACATAACCCATAACTCCTCTCACTGGATCGTAGATGTGTATGGAGCCATCAAAACTTGTCCAGGTACAGTGAATAATGATATGCATATTGATTTGAACTCTGTGGTTTTGAAATCAAATGAACTTAGAATTTATAAAAGTTCTCCCTACTCCCATGTGTAGCAGTACTCAATCATTAGTTTTAGACCTGAAATGTGAACTTGTCCAAGGTATTATTATACTTTATCTTTGTGTCAACTTTGATTGAAACCTTAAAAAGTGAAGTGTCAAGAATGATGACATCAATTTGAGATTGTAGACAATATGACAGACATCAATAAAATTTTGAATTTCAAAGCAAAACATCTATCGCTTAATTGGAAGTACTATAAACACTTCATTTCTCCATTCACAGGTTTCCTAAGGTTGAACATTTCAGATGCAGACTATTCCAGTGACCCACTGTTTCAGTACGAGCTTGGAATCAAATGCCCCAAAACGTTTAACATCTCCTTCTTTATTCCCAATGGGGACAAGCCTTACTTTGAAAAAGATTTTATTGTGACAGTAAAGGATCGACTTACTACCTACCATCTTAACATCTACAAGCCAAGGTCAAAGATCACAGCACCACCAACTAAAGGTAAGGATGGATTGTCAGTATTTGTCAATGTTTGTCATGTCACCTGAGTTAAAGGCTTCAGTGATCAATTGATATGATTCTTTCTTGTCGTGTGTCATGCTTAAACTTATTATTATTTTTTTTATTATCTTTGTTGATGTGTAACTGATGGGAAATCAGCAGTCTTTAATTCTTATATTAAAAATGGGCAAAACAAGAGAAAAATCATCATCTGGAGAGCTCTAGATACATGGATCTATACTTTTCAGTAATATACAAGCATATTGATATAGTATTGGCATGGAAAGATTTTTCATCTTACAATAGCACTTCATATTCTAATGAGGCTTCATTAAGGAGTTTCGTACTCTAATTATACACTGGAAATATTACATTTAAATCTGTACTGAATTATCATAATAGATATGATCACTAGATTATCAAAAGTCAAAATCGAAATCCAGAAGCAAAATTGTGTTGTCAATAAATATACTTTACTGTTAAATTTTGTTACTGTTAGTGTTATATTTGCTAAATTTTGTTTTTGTCAGTGTTATAGTAGTTAAATTTTTTCTGTCAGTGTTATAGTAGTTAAATTTTGTTTCTGTCAGTGTTATAGTAGTTAAATTTTGTTTCTGTCAGTGTTATAGTAGTTAAATTTTGTTCTGTCTGTGTTATAGTAGTTAAATTTTGTTTCTGTCAGTGTTATAGTAGTTAAATTTTGTTCTGTCTGTGTTATAGTAGTTAAATTTTGTTCTGTCTGTGTTATAGTAGTTAAATTTTGTTCTGTCTGTGTTATAGTAGTTAAATTTTGTTCTGTCTGTGTTTTAGTAGTTAAATTTTGTTCTGTCTGTGTTTTAGTAGTTAAATTTTGTTCTGTCTGTCAGTGTTATAGTAGTTAAATTTTGTTTCTGTCAGTGTTATAGTAGTTAAATTTTGTTCTGTCTGTGTTATAGTAGTTAAATTTTGTTCTGTCTATGTTATATTTATTAATGTTGTGATTTGGTTTGTTACAGAGGTTAGTCGTGGGCAGCTGCTAAAATTATCGTCCACAGAGGACGTCACTCCGCCCCATTTTTCCATTCCCTTCATCGCCTCTGTGTGTGGGGGCACACTTCTCCTTATCTTCATCGCCACCTTTGGTATTTGTGTCAAATTCAGTAAGTATTACATGCAAATGTTTTCATTAATTTTCCTGTTATCATTATAATGAATTTAATTATAGGATAATAAATTTTAGTAGACTTGTCCTTAAAACATAAATTTACTCTGCTTGATATCAACAGAAGTAGGGATCTACTCTTATTTTATCATAGTAGTTTGCCTTGATATATGTATAACAATAATAGTTTCTTAAGGTAATTATCACTTCATTGAAAATACAGATCTACGGTATATATATCACTGGCAGATATGCTTTCTGTAGACAGATCTGTTTTAAACAGATACATTAAAATGTTCATGTGAATTTTGATAACTGTCTCTCTTCTCCAGACCAGCCTCGTGTGGATGTGCTGAGATTCCGCTGGTGCCATCTTGTCCTCATGGTTGGCTACATTGTGTTCCAGTTTGTGTTTGCTGTGCTGGCTTCTATGACTGTGTTTGTTCTCATCATCATGGCTGTTAATAGGTAATACTGAAGTCATAAGTACCTGTGTTTATTTGTTGTATTTATCACCGTAGCAACAGCCACTGTCTTTTTGAGCCAGGTTTTTTTCCTATAATAGCTGATGGCTACCTTACTGAATAACATACAGGAGGCCCATTTTATGCCATTGGGAGTCATTGGGTTAAAGTGTCTGCCCAAGGACACAACCATCACAGCACAGATTAGTCTGTTTCTCAGCTTCTAGAAAAATTAAACTGACACAGGCAAGGAGTGTGAGATCACAGACCTCAGATTTTCATCATAGGTTAAGCCAGTACACTACTGACTGATTTATGGAAGTCCCAGTGGTAGTATTACGAAGTTATAGTACCTTTGTTACATCTGCTAACAATGCAGCTCTGAAGATTGCTGGTATCCGCTATATTTATCCAGGAACAAGCAACTGAATAATAATCACATCAAAAACAGGGACTTTTTATTTTCTATGGCCAGACAGTATGAAGAAATAATAAAAAAAAGTAATGTAGGTATACATATTATTTAAGTGACATTTTCTGAATAATAATCACATCAAAAACAGGGACTTTTTATTTTCTATGGCCAGACAGTATGGAGAAATAATAAAAAAAGTAATGTAGGTATACATATTATTAAAGTGATGTGTTCTTTCTGAATAATAATCACATCCCAGGGACCCCCCCATATTATTACACACACACACACACACACACACACACACACACACACACACACACACACACAACACACACACACACACACACACACACACACACACACACACACACACACACACACACCCCTCCCTGCTGTACCAGTAATATGAATGCTTTAATTGTTATGTTGTTTTATATTCAATTTATTTGTATATGAATATATTTCAAAATTTGATCATGCACTGAAATGATTAAGGGTTTAATGAGAGTGCACAGCGGGAAGGAAATGAGTTATCTATGATTGGATCTCAAGTCTTTTAATCTTCAATGCTGGGAGCTTCATTTGATTGTGCATTGCCATAATACACAGATTCTGATTGGCTGATTTATACTTTTAGTGACGCCACAGCCTTCCTTCAGAACTACCAGCAGCAGCGTTCAGTAAAGTCTGCCTACAGCCACCTGGAGCTTGACCACATGGAACGCCACCTGGTAGCCGAGATCGCACGTCAGAACCAACTTGCCAACAGTTCCAAAGCTATGTGTGAACAACAAATGCACAAAATCACGGATGATTTTGCTAAGGTATACAGAATGTTTGGTTATTATAAACTTTCTTTGTCGTCAAGACACCTTAATCCAGACTTGGGCCCACTCAAATATTACTGTAAAGCCTCAATTTACAGGTCAATAATCCAATAGATAACTTTAGAATGACAGAGTTGTAACTCTTGGTCATGTATCACTTTGGTTGTATAAAGTAATCACCTTGGCCCAGTTTCAAGGTCACATTTAGTGAAATAAAATGATGTAAAACTTTTTCAAAATGACCTAGAGGCTACATGCTATAATATTTGACCTTATTCATAATGAGGAAAAAAGGAGGAGTTATGTTTGATGATAAAACTTATATATTAGTAACATTGATTACTGTAAAATTGTTAATTTTCAGAGGAGAAGTTTGATGTTCAAATTCTGCATTTACCCTTAATCCTCAAATTCAATGTCCACATATTATTAAAATGCCCACAAAATAGTATTGCCTTTTTTAAAAAAATGCAAAATTTTTGCATCACCAAAATATAGGATTTGGCAGTAATTTTCACTGGCTGAGTAATTATAGGGACAACTAATAACTAATTAACTTAATTTTTTTATTGTGGAAAATTAGTTGATGAAAAGATTTATTGTCTGTGATGGGATTTCTAAATAATGACCATGTGATATTTGACAGTTGAAGGTTGAAATGGAGAGGGAGATGAAGACAAGGATGGAACAGGAAAATTTAAACAATCTCCTGGCTGACCATACCCAACAGCTTTTACAGAGTTTTACCAACACTTTGGCTATCTTCAGGTACATAACCTCATCTACCTTAGTCCTATACAGGTGAAGATACATAACCTCACCTGCCTAAGTCCTGTATAGGAAAGTCAGAAGTCCCTGAAAAAAAAAAAAAAAAGTGCTTTAGGTGTCTTACTTAAGTGAATGACTTTTATTTCCCTCTCAAATTATCAGAAATAAGGATCTGAAAACTAACACATATTTTTCGTTCTTATTTTATGCACTGCATCAGGTCTCTTTTTCCAAAGGCATCTATCTGGTATCATTTATTTTAGGCTCATTCTCAAAGCTCACTTATTTAGAGGCTGATTGGCTACACTCTATGTAACATTTTATTTTAATTTTCAATACCAGTAAGTTATACTGTGGATTCATTTTATTTCGTGGGGGTCCAATTTTCGTTGTTTTCGTGGATGAGCAAATCCACGAATTTAAAAACACAACGAAATATGAACTACTTACTAAAGTAATTTTGAAATTTGACCAAGTAATCTTTGCCGACACCGGAAACGTCCACCGGTAATGACAGAAGCCCCGTAATTAGTCGGGAGTCGGGTAGTCTGAGGCTCGACAGGGATACGCTAAATTGGTGTCAACGATATATAATTATATATTATTAAACATAACAAAGGGTAAGTACCCATTGTGATGCTAAGTATGATGGGATCGCAGTCGTTAGCGACACTGTGGACACTAGGCTTGATCGGACCATCCTGTCGATTGAAGATTGGATCCGTATTTCTATCCGACTACAGGTTCACAATAATTATTAACAATGCAGATCTTGTTTACACACCTGTTTACACACATGGTCCCATCGATACGCGTGGTATTTTCATATGACTGCGGTACACCGACTGATCAGCACACAATGTTTATCCACTGAAAACAATTGTTTCTGATAATTACCGATTGATTACACGCCAGGATATATACTGATTTGTGGTTTGATGTTAATGCGAGACTGTTGTAAACAGCGTTATAAAAACACAGGACGCCATCTTGAAAAAAAAACGTTCTTTTATTCTTGTCATTAGTGTTAATTCCTGTGAACATAGCCTTAATACAAACAGAAAAAAATTCGACTAGAAGCAAAAAGAGAAAATTCTAACGTTTTTATTTTTTTCCCACAGAATCAAAAATCCACGAATTTATGAGTCCACGAAACTGTCTAATTTGTAGAAACAACGAAAATTGAACCCAACGAAAATAAATGAATCCACAGTATTATGATTTTGGTGTTATCAGTTTACAAGGGAGATAACTCATGTAGCCTTGTAAATCCAACATTATAGAAACTGACTTATATTGAATAAGAATCATAAGATATTGGCATATTTTTGGTTGTTTCAGTTACCGGTACAATAATTACCTCAAATACACGAGGCAGGTCTTCTCCTCAGATATCCGTGACACATATGACAGTGTGGAAAAGAATAAATGGCTCTCTGGAGCTAACTTCCTGCGACGTAAAGTTAAGATTCTACGGGACATGATGAACCTACCAACTAAACCATTCATTGATTGGATGGGCTTAAAGAATGACCTCTTACACACAACAACTGGTAAGGATGTTTGTCGAGTGAATGATCAATTTCAATCCCAGTTACTCTTTATAGCATGCATTAAACCTCCCGCATAATGTGCTCAGAGGTAACCATCAGCTGTTACAAGAAGACTCCCACTTTTAAGTGTCTCTGGCTGTTCAAAACAGACAAAGTCAAAATTATTTATCCTCAATTCTTCACAGATCATTTTAGCATTCAGAAAAATATTTCACAAATTTATGAACACTTATCATAATGTGAGCGATGTATTTATGTGCGAGGTCTTGAGATATTGAATTTTCTTTTTCAGACACTCCCATACCTACTCCACAGTTACCAAGGTTCAGTATGGCAGACACAGTAATGGGTGGCAACAGGGACCAATCTCAAAGATTACCCTTAACAATCAAAACATCCACAGAGAAAACGTTGGAGAGTCACAACTACTGGATATACAATAACCAACCTCAAGGCTACAACAAGCCTCTTTATGAACAAAACGGGACAGAGACCCAGACTGGTGGTCAGAAGAAGTCTAGTTATAGTGGCTATTTTGTGTTTTTTGGTGTGATGCTGTGTATAGACTTAGTGTGGTTTCTACATCGTATGCTAAAGGCTTTAGGTGTCAGCCAACTCCTGTTGTTTGGCTATCCTATATACCTCGACATCCGTGACAAAACAGGTACGTTTAAACATCAAAATCATTGATACGTGAACAAAATTACAGGTAAACATATTTATTAATATATTTATCTAAGAAAAATATCTTATATGATTACATCAGAATTTTAGATAATCTAGTTATTTTAGATATCATTTTTCATTAAAACACAGTTCCAATATATCTGTTAGCTCTGTCTTGGTATGCTGCTAGGTAACAGTGAATATTGATGAAACGTGATATGGTATGATAATGAGGCTACTTCAGATCCGTATTTAGTTCTGATATCTTTGGACCAAGAATTTATTTTCATAAATATTTATTTTGTTTTTTGCCTTCAGAATTATGTAAATTGATTTTGTTGCAGCACGATCTCGTCACCCTAGTGAAAGTGAAGCATATATGAAAAAGAGAAAAAAATGGTTTAAACAAGGACTTTTCCATACTATGAAGGAATTCTTCTTTAAAGTATGTATAATCCTATCTTTCCTGATATCAGGGTAAACATATTAAAATCTGGATGTAAAATTGTTTGTGTTTCTACCTCAGAATCATAAATAATATCTTGAAAATCTCTCAAAATATTTACTCAATAGCATCATAATATAAGTTCTCTTTCTCATATGAAGGTGATAAACAGTCTGTCAATGTTAAAGGGTCAAAGGTCACATTTGACAAAATCTTCAAAATCATCAAGCAATGATACTTATATGCATAGAAGTGAAAGTATTAATGTCTTACTGTTGTTTACTGCCACATATTAAAAATTTCACCTTTTTAATGCAGAGTTATCTGCTCTTGTGTGCAGGTATTGACTATAACGTCACTTGTTTATGTGATGAAATTATGTGGTTCACAAACAAGAACTAATTAATACCTGCTCACAAAAGCTGAAAAAAATGTAGTATGAGAGAGAGAGAGTAAAGATAAATATGTGTTTGTATATCTGTATATTTATTTTACAGATACTGTCAAGTATGTTTATCCCAAAAGTGATAGCAGCAGTGCTGGTTTGTCTTATCATGTATGTGTTATCCGTGGCAACCTTTCACTTTGTCAACAGAGAAACATTTAGTTACCTAGGATACTACAACAACATTGTAAGTACAGATAGAAAACACTTTACATTTTGTTCTACATATCTCTGATGAAGCATGACAGGGTTGAGTTACCATAATGTCAATGAAATTTCTATCTGGTTGTTGGGGGAAAATTTCAGATATTATCACTGTTGCAGTTGTTAACTTTAATGCTTTTTTGTTTCTTTTTAACAATGTTTAATTCCATCGATGAAAAATTTTAAATTTTGCTGGAATTTTAATTTTTCTGTCAAAATGGCTCCTTTCGGAAAATCAAAACGGGCATTTTTTTTTTCAACTTTACTCACTTTGTCAATATTTCAGTGTACGTTTTAAAAAAGAAAAGAAAAAAAATGATTCACTTATATTGCATAAAATATTAATTCTGTATTATTTCAATTTTACAGGATGACCTTCTGAAAATGAACGAAGCCTTCATCAACAATCGGATAAAAGCCCATGCCATGCGTATCAATATGATGGAGTACCCAACCTACCAAGAGTTGGTAAACTTACATATACAGCGTCACCATTACGTGTATAAGATGGTAGAGAGACAATGGCAGGTCCTTGGTGATGCTCACGGACAGCTCTACTGTAAATATCTCCAGCAACTAGACCTCAAGGCTAAATGTAATAAGCCACTGGGCACCAGATTCAATGATATACAAATATCAGCTTGTCACTTCCAGCAGGTGGAACCAGAGTTGTATGAAGGGTAAGAATCAGACTGCATGTGGTGAAGGAACAATGTCTTACTTCATGTTTTCATTCTTTTATTTTCTTAATTTTTGAGATTATGTTTAAAAAAAAACATGTATTCAGGTGTCAGATAATTCATTCCACTGCAAATGTGTTACAAGGCATACAGACATTTAAGTTAAATGAGATGTTTATCTGTTTTAGACATTCTGGTCCGGAGTCGACAGTGGCTGAGGTTCAGATGGATGCCTTCCTGAGAAGTATCCGACAAATGATATCTGATACCAGTTATATTGTCCTCATCTATCTGTCTGTTATCATTGTCAAGGAGCTGCTTGGCACAGTCATCTGGCTTTATATGAAACGGTGAGTAAAAACAAAAATCATTGAAAATTCTCATCAGACTTAAGTTTTGTTATAGTAAAAACTACAAAAATAAGAAATGGACACAATCTGGGCTTTTTGTTGAAGTCAAACTTAACATGTTCTTAAATTTGCATGCAAAAATAATGCAAATTTGTGTAAATTTCTGCTTTACATCATTATGGTAAATAAAAAGAGAGATTATCATTCAACTTTGGTTAAAAATAGTTTTCATCACTCATTCTCTATAGGTAGACATATAATGCAAAACTGAAATTGAAAACCATTCTAATGTAGTACAAATATTATTTAAAAATTGAAATTATAATGAATGTTAATGTTTCAGGTCCGGTTTAATGAACTTACGTATTATATATGAAGCTGACGAGCCTCCACCGCCTGCTTCTAGGACAACATAAAAAGTTGGATGTTGAAGTTATCTGTCGAAATAATTCTGGAGAAAAAAGTTATAAAATTGAGATAATACTTCTGATTGATGTAATGTTCATATTCTTTCCATCAGAAGTGTGCGAGAAACAGAATGGTCTTTTGATGGCAAACTGTGGTATAGTGTTGTTAATGTTACTGATTTATGAAGGTCACAGGATTAATCAGGTCAAGGTCAACACCTGATTAAGTTTACGAGGTAACTGACATTGGTTTTAGAGGTTAAGATGACTTCATAATTATCAGTGTTAAGTGTGATTTGATTAATTCTGCTCTTGATGTTGAAGGATACTTTTTGTTGTCTGTTTATTAGTGGATATCATAGATGTTTATGATGCTATAAGCATTGTAGTTAGCTTTACTGATGAATCAGTTACCATGAATCTCATTGTATGATATCTTACAGAAAGCATTTTGTGATAATTACCCAACTTTGTGGAGTGTTTGAACTTCATCATGCCTCTACGTAGATAGAAATAGATTGTTATTAAGTGCTACTTTGGTGTTGCTTTGTTCTCTACAGGGGAGACAAGTCATACTGATCATAATATGGAGGAACAAACATAAGACAATTACTGTAAGTGTGTTAGCTATTTTTATCATGATGCCGTTTCCATGGTAAAGGTTTTGTTTACCTTTTAGCTGTTGTTGAATTTCTTATGGTTTTTATCAACAGTAAATTAAAGACATTTCCTCTGCGATGTGAAAAAGAAAAAATCAATATTGATAATATTGATCATGTGTTCAAGTGTATACTTCATTTGTTATATTTACTTGAACAAGAGTTGTCTCCCATCACAGTGTTACTTCTCTCAAGAAAAGCATTATGAGTTTTGAAGAGTAAAGATGAAATCCTAATGTCATTATATATACCATTGAAGGCATTGAGCTTCTGACAATTGACTTTACAGGAGCTCTGGATGGGCAGTGAAGTGATGAAAATGTCATAATACTTTCATAATCATATAATAACCAAGTGTGTTTGTTGTAAATGGAAGTTTAGAATGTGTGTATTATGGTATTGTATGAAAGGAATGGTTTTAAATGGTTGTCTGCAATATTGATATAAAATATTAAATTTATATATTTCATGTTTCTTAATAAATATATCTAGTCCAAAAATATTTCACATATATATGATTATATAATGTACATTTATTTTAAAAGATTTTATTGTGCCCATGTTAGAATGCATTTTTACATCCCTTGTTGAACTAGCATAGACTAGCTGTCCATTTGTTATGGACTGGTTTACTATGCTAAATAGGGGCGACAGGTTCTGCTGCATTATGTGCTAACCATATTGATCTCATTATAATAACCTAAGAAGAGTTGTCTTTCTTTGTAAATGTAACCTGTATTATGATTTCAAAAAAACTTCTCCTCAAAGCTATTACCCAAAGGAATATGTTTATATAACATTTCTCAGAAAGATTTTCTGACCCTGTAAAAGAGTACAGTATATGAACCTTGTATTTGTAATGTATTTAACCCTATATGGTTTCACCAAAATTTTCACTGTTTCCTCTTCCATCCCAGATAAGATTTCCACAGAGGAACATTGACACTGGTAGCTTTGGCTGTTAGTGTTTTCAGAAAATCACATCTCAAAGTATTCTGTACCTCTATGTGTTTTTACTGTTCTGCAGGAGAAATAAGTTTTTTGGGAATTAAAGTATCAGAATGAGAATATCTCTTTACTGAGAAAATTACATGTAATTGTTAAAACTGAAATTGTAGGTTATGTAGGAATTCCTCATTAACTATGAGATATAACTGGATTTGACCAGTGAATCACCCATCCCATGTTCTCTGTATTGTGATACAATTTTTGAGGAAACAGCATCATAATTTTTTTGTTCCTAAATACATATATAAAGTTTCACTAGTGCTCCATGTTAGTGCTGAAATTTTCAAATAGAAATGTTAAATTTTACCCTAAGTTGAGAAAAAAGAAAAAAATGAAAAAGAGTTGGTTCTTGAAAACTCATCTTGATACCCAGTATTTAGGTGATTTGGGGTCATGATAGCTGAAAACAGTTAGAATGTTGGCCTGTGTAACCTCAGGTGAAATCCCAGGTACGTGGTTCAATGCCCCATACCTATGGCACTTTGTTTCTCAAGAAACTGATAAACAAACTGGTCTAAGCTGTCACATGATTGAGTCCTTGTGCACAACACTACCTTGATTGCTCTACATGACCTGGGATTGGCCTTCTGTATGTTGTTCATTGAGAATCTACCAGTTACAACAAAATGACCCAGCCTTTTCACAGGTCAATGAATAGAGCAAACAAACAATTAAACCTACTTTTAATTTTTCAGTATTTGGTGAAAGTTTTTTATTTTGGACATTTTGTAAGAAACTTAATACCTAAAATCAGTTAAAATTCCTTTAAATTAAAAACAACATTAGCTTTGTCTGTGTGTTCAGTTTGAAATGACATCAGAGTTTTAATCCAAAGACGTCACTGTCATTATGCAGTGATCTTCAAGGGGGTGATATTGTGTAGAAATCTGAAGAATTGCAGCCCATTAGTGTTGGAGAGATGTAACTGAGAAATGCTCCTTTGTAGATATATGCAGTGAAACTGACATGGAAAGACCAAATAAAATATAAGAAAACCAGCATGTCATTTGTTGTTGTTTACCACTAACAACTTGTATATCTAGATCACTTTGATAAACTTTTCTCACAACATCTAAGTACCTATCTGGTTTTTTTTCAAGCAAAGATCTTATAAACCCCATTGGCTGTCAGGGAAAGGCTTCTTGATCAAGTGGTGATGTAGAAAGTATTACAAACAATGCTGAGCAAAACTTTTGATGATGTCGATGTGCTTGGCAAACTTGTTTGTACTAAGTAAAATATAATTACTAGAGAGAGAAAAAAAACTCAAAGTTTGCAGAATTTGGTTACTTCCCTTTAGACCATAAATAATATAAACATATCGCAAAGCTATGTTCAAACCCAAATGTCTACAAATATGTTTTCATATAGATGTACAGAATTTGGACAGTGTATACACGTATCGACCTGCCTGACCTTTCAGTACTGGCAATGAGTGTCCCTTTTCTGGAGTCTCCATGGTAATAATCCTAGACTTCATACAGGTAAACGACACGAGGAACAGATAGCATCCCTTGGTATTATGGACACCGTGACCGTACGACTCTTTAGTGAGTCATATAGATAGGTATGCCTGACGTAGAAGGATATCGACCTTATGGGGATTCTCTACACGCGATTAGATGTCCCATCTTGTTCAAATTACTGTCTTCTCTGTTACATTACGAGATAATTCTTCTTCAACAAGACTTGATATCTTTTAAGAATGTGCGTGGAGACATCCAATTGTTCATCTCATATTCTATACTTATTCATACAGGCACAATACCCCTGTTCCTTAACTCGCCACTTTTTCTAATGAAGTACTTGTTTTTAGATGGTGAAATGACATTCAGAAATATATGTATCTTTATTACAAAGTTATTTTAGAAATATTGGTCCGTTTCATCATTGCATCATTTTTCACTTCAACCTTTTGGTATCAATCACGAAATTAGAACCACTGATGAAACATCTTTCAGGTATATCTCAAATCCGTAAATAAAGTCACCTCTTGTTGTTTTTTCATGTTAGTTTCTAGAAACCACAGAGAGGGCGTGGTTTTCGTGATGTGCTTGGTGAGATTCGACAATAAGGGATCTGTAATTTAGGATAAGGAACCGTAATGATGTGTTTGTGTGTGTAACTATGTGGTTCTGGCCTAGTGTCAGTTGATCACACCGCTCCTTATCGTCACGAACATTTCGATTTCCTTGGTTTTGTCTTAACAAACTGCTGCAATTTCCTCGACTGATTAGATCATAAGGTATCTTATGTCGACATGTTTCGGACAAGATGTTTTATTATGTCATCGATGTAGGGAAAACCCGTTTCAGTGAGATGTCGTTCCTGGTCTTGTACAGCAATATTCCGCTCTAGTTCCCGACAAAGTAATGTCGTTCCTGGTCTTGTATTGCAATATTCCGCTCTAGTTCCCGACATAGTAATGTCATTCCTGGTCTTGTACTGCAATATTCCACTCTAATTCCCGACATAGTAATGTCATTCCTGGTCTTGTACTGCAATATTCCACTCTAATTCCCGACAAAGTAATGTCGTTCCTGGTCTTGTACTGAAATATTCCCACTCTAGTTCCCGACATAGTAATGTCGTTCCTGGTCTTGTACTGTAATATTCCGCTCTAGTTCCCGACATAGTAATGTCGTTCCTGGTCTTGTACAGCAATATTCCACCCTACTCCCCGATATAGTACTGTCGTTCCTAATCTTGTACAACAATATTCCACTCTAATTCCCGACATAGTAATCTCGTTCCTGGTCTTGTACAGCAATATATTTCATTCTAGTTCCCGACAAAGTAATGTCATTCCTGGTCTTGTACTGTAATATTCCACTCTAGTTCCCGACATAGTAATGTCGTTCCTGGTCTTGTACTGCAATATTCCACTCTAATTCCCGACATAGTAATGTCATTCCTGGTCTTGTACTGCAATATTCCACTCTAATTCCCGACAAAGTAATGTCGTTCCTGGTCTTGTACTGAAATATTCCCACTCTAGTTCCCGACATAGTAATGTCGTTCCTGGTCTTGTACTGCAATATTCCACTCTAGTTCCCGACATAGTAATGTCGTTCCTGGTCTTGTACTGCAATATTCCACTCTAGTTCCCGACATAGTAATGTCGTTCCTGGTCTTGTACTGTAATATTCCACTCTAGTTCCCGACATAGTAATGTCGTTCCTGGTCTTGTACTGCAATATTCCACTCTAGTTCCCGACATAGTAATGTCGTTCCTGGTCTTGTACAGCAATATATTTCATTCTAGTTCCCGACATAGTAATGTCATTCCTGGTCTTGTACTGCAATATTCCACTCTAGTTCCCGACATAGTAATGTCATTCCTGGTCTTGTACAGCAATATTCCACTCTAATTCCCGACAAAGTAATGTCGTTCCTGGTCTTGTACTGAAATATTCCCACTCTAGTTCCCGACATAGTAATGTCGTTCCTGGTCTTGTACAGCAATATATTTCATTCTAGTTCCCGACATAGTAATGTCATTCCTGGTCTTGTACTGAAATATTCCACTCTAGTTCCCGACATAGTAATGTCGTTCCTGGTCTTGTACTGCAATATTCCAATCTAGGTCCCGACATAGTAATCTCGTTCCTGGTCTTGTACAGCAATATATTTCATTCTAGTTCCCGACATAGTAATGTCATTCCTGGTCTTGTACTGAAATATTCCCACTCTAGTTCCCGACATAGTAATGTCGTTCCTGGTCTTGTACTGCAATATTCCACTCTAGTTCCCGACATAGTAATGTCGTTCCTGGTCTTGTACAGCAATATATTTCATTCTAGTTCCCGACATAGTAATGTCATTCCTGGTCTTGTACTGCAATATTCCACTCTAGTTCCCGACATAGTAATGTCATTCCTGGTCTTGTACTGAAATATTCCACTCTAGTTCCCGACATAGTAATGTCGTTCCTGGTCTTGTACTGCAATATTCCACTCTAGTTCCCGACATAGTAATGTCGTTCCTGGTCTTGTACTGTAATATTCCACTCTAGTTCCCGACAAAGTAATGTCGTTCCTGGTCTTGTACTGTAATATTCCGCTCTAGTTCCCGACAAAGTAATGTCGTTCCTGGTCTTGTACTGTAATATTCCGCTCTAGTTCCCGACAAAGTAATGTCGTTCCTGGTCGTGTACTGTAATATTCCGCTCTAGTTCCCGACAAAGTAATGTCGTTCCTGGTCTTGTACTGTAATATTCCGCTCTAGTTCCCGACAAAGTAATGTCGTTCCTGGTCTTGTACTGTAATATTCCGCTCTAGTTCCCGATAAAGTAATGTCGTTCCTGGTCTTGTACTGTAATATTCCGCTCTAGTTCCCGACATAGTAATGTCGTTCCTGGTCTTGTACTGCAATATTCCTCTCTAGTTCCCGACATACTAATGTCGTTCCTGGTCTTGTACAGCAATATTCCACTCTAGTTCCCGATATAGTAATGTCGTTCCTGGTCTTGTACTGCAATATTCCACTCTAGTTCCCGACATAGTAATGTCGTTCCTGGTCTTGTACTGCAATATTCCACTCTAGTTCCCGACATAGTAATGTCGTTCCTGGTCTTGTACAGCAATATTCCATTCTAGTTCCCGACAAAGTAATGTCGTTCCTGGTCTTGTACTGAAATATTCCACTCTAGTTCTCAACATAGTAATGTCGTTCCTGGTCTTGTACTGCAATATTCCACTCTAGTTCCCGACATAGTAATGTCGGTCCTGGTCTTGTACTGTAATATTCCACTCTAGTTCCCGACAAAGTAATGTCGTTCCTGGTCTTGTACAGCAATATTCCATTCTAGTTCCCGACAAAGTAATGTCGTTCCTGGTCTTGTACTGAAATATTCCACTCTAGTTCTCAACATAGTAATGTCGTTCCTGGTCTTGTACTGCAATATTCCACTCTAGTTCCCGACATAGTAATGTCGTTCCTGGTCTTGTACAGCAATATTCCATTCTAGTTCCCGACAAAGTAATGTCGTTCCTGGTCTTGTACAGCAATATTCCACTCTAGTTCCCGACATAGTAATGTCGTTCCTGGTCTTGTACTGAAATATTCCCACTCTAATTCCCGACATAGTAATGTCGTTCCTGGTCTTGTATTGAAATATTCCCTCTCTAATTCCCGACATAGTAATGTCGTTCCTGGTCTTGTACTGAAATATTCCATTCTAGTTCCCGACATAGTAATGTCGTTCCTGGTCTTGTACAGCAATATTCCACTCTAGTTCGCGATATAGTAATGTTGTTCCTGGTCTTGTACTGCAATATTCCACTCTAGTTCCCGACATAGTAATGTCGTTCCTGGTCTTGTACTGTAATATTCCACTCTAGTTCCCGACATAGTAATGTCGTTCCTGGTCTTGTACTGCAATATTCCACTCTAGTTCCCGACATAGTAATGTCGTTCCTGGTCTTGTACAGCAATATTCCATTCTAGTTCCCGACAAAGTAATGTCATTCCTGGTCTTGTACAGCAATATTCCACTCTACTCCCCGATATAGTAATGTCGTTCCTTATCTTGTACAGCAATATTCCACTCTAGTTCCCGACACAGTAATGTCGTTCCTGGTCTTGTACAGCAATATTCCACTCTAGTTCCCGACAAAGTAACGTCGTTCCTGGTCTTGTACTGCAATATTCCACTCTAGTTCCCGACAAAGTAATGTCGTTCCTGGTCTTGTACTGCAATATTCCATTCTAGTTCCCGACAAAGCAATGTCGTTCCTGGTCTTGTACTGCAATATTCCACTCTAGTTCCCGACCTAGGTATGTCGTTCCTGGTATCGTACAGCAATATTCCACTCTAGTTCCCGATATAGTAATGTCATTCCTGGTCTTGTACTGCATACTCCACTCTAATTCCCGACATAGTAATGCCATTGCTAGTCTAGCATAGCAATGGCTCAATACAGTTCCGAACATACTTATGTCGTTTCCGGTCTTTCATTACACTGTACCCTCTCGTTCCCGACATAATACTTTGTTT